AATCGATGCCTTCAGGTGCTTGCTAGGAAACCTCCCATAGATCTCGAGATTTTTCAGAGGGAAAAGTATCAGCAGATTAAGTGGGGCAGCAATATTACGGTTTCGAACAATACCATCCAACCAGAAGACATAGAATGGACAATCCCATATAGTGAGACTCTATTTCCTATTGGGCATACTGCCAACACTGAGGAGAATACCAATAACAACTATATAGACATCTACACTGATGGTTCGAAGATAAATAACTCTGTTGGCTGCAGCCTAGTTGTGTATGAAAATTCTCTGGAAACAACACATCTGACTTTCCGCCTTGATGACAGGTGTACAGTTTTCCAGGCGGAGTTGTATGCCATTTGGAAGGCTGTTGAAACCATTGATAAAAGTCACAACAACATCAGTGTTACTATAAACACAGACTCCTTATCCGCATACAAGATTATTAAAAGCACAAAATTGCATCCACTAGCTGAGAACATAAGAAATCAAATCCGACTGTCAAACTGTAAATTCCAACTAACATGGGTCAAAGCCCATCAAGGGGTGGTTGGCAATGAGAGAGCTGATTCTTTTGCCAAGTCTGCCACTACTTTGGACAAGAAACATATTGTCTACAAGAAAATTAGTCGACGTTCGCTGCGCAGTTTGTTATGGGAGGAAACTTTACAACTCTGGCAGACAACTTGGGACCTAGATAAAGATCACATAACTTATAAATTCATCCCTGATATACAACAGCATCTACGGAATAAATGGTACTCACCTAATTTCTATGCTAACCAAATATTCACCAACCATGGTAAATTCGCTAATTACCTGGCAAGGTTCGTAAATTACACATCCGATGTATGCAACGCATGTGATGTCAGGGATGGACCAGACCATTATCTTTTTAATTGCATCGCCTTCGAAAGGGAAAGATTAGAATTTAAGATATTGTTGGAAACCTACAAGATCAGTTGGCCATTCAATCATCATGACATTTGGATAAATAAAGATATTTACCATAATTTTATACAGTTCGCTAAGAGGATTTACACTGTTAATAAATCCAGCTTACACAGCTAATTGCTTTCTTAGGCACCTATTGATATGTTGTCTTCTACCCGTAGGGACCACTTCACGCGAACTGTTGTGACTGCGGATTCCCTGCGGCCTGTACATTATGTTTTTATCTCTGCTCTTTGTTCACTCTTTACAATTATATATAGTAATCCGGTCATATTTATATTGTAATTGTAATTGTAATTAATCATACTTGTATTCTAGCCCTGATAATGCTACATGCGGGGTCAGGGCATGTACTTTGTACATAATAAATTAAATTAAAGTAAATAAAAAGTAAGTAAAAAGTAGATAACCCAATATACAAATAGATCTAGAAGAGAATGAACATTTCGCTTTGTTGAGTGTTAAGTTATACTTAAGAGCCATGTCCATAAAATGAGTAAGATTACAATCATGTTCTTGCTGAGTTCTTCCACAGACGGTAACATCGTCCAAATAAGCAAACGTGTCGACTAAGCCTTCTTTAGCAATCAACTGAGAGATAGAGCGTTGAAATCCAGCAACTCCATTCGTGAGGCCAAAACTAATCACCTTAAACTGCCACAATTTGTTACAAGCTTCAAACGCTGTGTAATGTCTGTCTTCTTTCGGAATGGGAATTTGATGGTAGGCTCGACGCAAATCTATAGTACTGAAAACTTTATAACAGGCTATTTTCTGAATCAAGTCATCAATTCTAGGGAGAGGGAATGCATCCAACTCAGTAAACTTATTAATAGTATGAGAGTAGTCTATAACTAGTCTTTTCTTTAGACCATGTACAATCACCACCTGAGCCCTCCATGGCGAGTTACTTTCTTCAATTAGACCCTCAGCTGTCAACCTCTTAATTTCTGCATCGATAAAATCCTGATCTGGTTTAGAGAACCGCCTAGATTTAGTAGCGATAGGCCTAATGTCTTTAGACAAATGTTCGAAGAGACGGGCCGGTGGCACATTTGCAAACACAGCGGAACAGATCGACAATGATTTATGAGAGCCACCAAATTTGAACGACACATCAGCATGCAAAGCTAGGAAATCGTGCCCTAAAATTACATCAGCACATAGGCCAGATAAAGCTGACAGTGACACCTTTGGATAAGTATGACCCTTTAAGTTAATAGAAACTATGCACCGACCCCTCACAGTTGAACTTAAAGCGGTTGTAGCCATCGAAACTTGAGCGGAATGCGGAATAATTCGGAAACGATGACACAGTGCAAAATTATAATCTATGAAACTTTCGGAACTGCCAGTATCCACCAGGGCCCGAGCTAAGATGTTGTTTAGACGTATTTTAACTGTAGCTCTAGACAAAGGGCTGTGAGCAACAGTTGCCAAGGTTACAGCAGCCGTAGTTGGCTTACTCCCTTTGCTTTTACAAACTCTAGAAAAATGTCCCCTTTTTCCGCATTTGTTGCAATCTTCATTTCTAGCAGGGCATCTGTTGCGAAGGTGTTTCATGTAGCCACAATAAGGACACCTACGTTCAGTGGCAGCCAGCACATGTGAGGGTAAAGCATTATCTTCGGTATTATCTAAATTCTCTTCCACCAACTCCTTTTCATTGGCGATATGGATAGCGCTTACTGTACTAGTATTAGAGACAAAAGTTTCAGACTGAACAAAGGCAGATTCTAAGGCACGGGCTTGCGATAAGGCATCTACGAGTTTTAAAGTATGGCTTTCCAAAAGGCGCTGCCATATCTGGGGCGATAGCAATCCAGCAATAAAGATGTCGCGTACATATTCACTTTTATATTCTTCTGCCGAGACAGAGGTAAAGTTGCAGTCCTTACTTAATGTCCTAAGATTCTGATAATACTGGTCAATGGACTCACCGGGTTGTTGGCAACGATTAATTAAACAATGACGAGCGAAAATGACATTTATAGGCTTCTCATATAAGGCAGTCAAAGTCTTAATGGCATCCTGAAAACCAGAGCACTCTGATATATAAGAGTAGACTAAGGGTCCCACGAAATTAACAAGTAGACTGAACCTCCTCACATCGTCCATTTCCGTTGACGAAACGAAGTTCTCGAATGTTCTGTACCAATGGGACCACTGTCGAGAGGAACCACTAATATTCGGATCGACATTAAAACGTTCAGGCTTAAGAAGACTATCCATCCCAAGTAATTTTAGACACGAATAAATTGTAGTATAAAGAGACAAAGACGTTACCTTAACAAAAGGTTTTATTCATGTCTAAAACACGCGATTGTTACAATTCAAAACGCGGCGAGAAACAGTGCTGCCAGACCAAGAGACTACTACAGTAGGGAAGAGTGTTGCCACCCTGAGACACTACTACAGTTCCTTTGTTCTTGAGTGAACTAACATTATACTCAATTACACAACAAATCACCATAGTTGTGATGAAAAAACAACACAAGAACTCCAGCTAAAGTGCACTTGAGCACACACAAAATGTAGACAAGTCACAAAGATGGCACTGGACATTGCGCATGCTCATGATGTCACTCGTGATGTCAGCGTGAAACCTCTCTATAGTTAGTTATTTTGCCTATAACTACAGAAATTTTACTGACTTGAATGACATTTGCATCAATCAAAATTATAAAGGATGTGAAATAAATGTGAAGCTCTGGACAGATTCGTACCTCACTGAAATTCATGTTAAAATCGTTTATTTTTAAGGAGAAAATTATCTTTTTTTGAGAATAAAAATAGAAGTTAGAAATAGTTTTTCTTAATGAAAACGACGTGAACTTAGTCTTAAACAATAGAACAATGGAAAAGTGTAGATCAACTATCTCCAGATGGGAATTGAATTAAACTTCAATTTTGACCTCTCCCGCACCCCGAAAGGTTTTTAATTGTCACCAGGTGACAAAGAGAGGCCAATTGGAAAGTGGAATCGGAGAAAAACAATAAAACCTGAGAATTCAAGGACATGATGGCTTCTTCTCCCAAAATTTCCAAGTGGCGTATCTATTGTTGTGTGTGTGTCTCGTGCCCATCTTCGTCTCCATCTCCCGGCCTTGAATCGACATCTTTCTATCAACGGAAGTCGACTGCATCATCCCGGAGTCATTGAGACGTCAATGTAATTGGTCATTCGCAAACCATGGGACTATCTTGGAAAGGAGAGGAAGGCCCACCAATGGCCGAGTGGATTCTGTCTCCGCTCATAGCGGCAGTGACCAGACCCTAAACACTGACATTTGGTTGTGGGTTTGCACCTTGATCGGACAGGCTGGAAGCTTAGATTTTTCTGGGTTTTCTCCTTGCAGCTGGTGCCTAAATAGGGGCCAGCTCCCTATTAAAGTCCTCCCAGAAGGCATTCTATCCCCCTTCGTGTTTCTTCTGGCCGTCTTTTATAAGGCCAACTCTTCTGTCGTTTGTGATCCATCTGCTGTCTCTTCTTCCCTTCAGAGTAAAAATGAATAGCAATACACTTTTCTATCACAAGGAATAAAGGAGAGGAAGACCCAGAGGTCGCTGCCAACATAGGACTTCCAAGATTGTGGAAATCTTGTAAGTTTCTTTCATGTCAAATAAACAGTTACTTGTAACCGTAGAGTCTGTCTCAATGCTGATCGCCCACATACCACCCTTTGTGCCCCCTTGACATTTTTGCACACTGTCAGCAACCTTACATAAATATTCATATTTATTTATAATCTATTTAAACTAAGGTAAAAAAAATAAGAAATTGGGAACATACTTAATCATTTTTAAATTTTTTGACATATTTTATATACAATTTTTATTAATCAAAATTTTACATAGTTTAATTATTATAGATTAAATATGCTTTTAACTAATAGAATGTTCATCTAATATTTTATTATTATTTATGATTTATAGCATTTCTAGTACTGTATTCTGATATATTTTTATATGCATTACAATAATTTATTATTTATGAGAAGACTACAAATAACATACTTTAAATTTATTTATATATCCTTTGATCACAGAATAGTAATCCTGGAAATTCTGTAGTATCAATGAAGAAAAGAAAGCCTTATAATAATAATAACAATAATAATAAAGGTAATATTTTTTTAAATTTATTAATATCAGATTATTTTCATTTATTGAAATAACTATACTTTAATACAGTCAAACTTTGTTAAGATGTTTCCCTTAAGCTGCTACTCTCACTGACTGCCAAAAATAATAGGTTAACAGATCACCCATATGTTTTTGAAAGGAAATTCCTGATAAACTGCTCTCTGCCTTCTGCCAATTTAAAAGCTTGCACAAACATGCATTTTAATAAATTTTAATTTGCTTTTGTGTTCGATAATTCACCACAGGTGCAGGAAATGAAGCTAGACTTACATGTAAATCACTTAATACTATCTTGTCAACAACTTGCCAATCAATCATCTGGTTCTTGTCAGTTACTTTTAATCTGGTAATGTCTGAAGGCCTTGGAAAACATTCTTTCATTAAAAGTCCTATCATTACATATTTGAAAAGTGCTGGTTAAGAATATCAGTTTATGTTGGAATGTTAAAAGCTTTCAAGGCATTCTGCAGTTTTTTTGGGAATTTGTCAAGTCATTCTCATTAATTTTGGCCATCTTAGTCTGATTCTGGGGTTTGGTCATGAAGGTGACTGTGCTGTAGGGAAGATGAGACAACCCTCCTACAAAGGAAGCCAAAGAAGGGTTGTTGAAAGTGCAAAAGTTTTTGGAAAACCATTGCGACAGTAGTGTAATGTATATCATTGCACTGGACAACAATTGATGAGAGGAAGAAGAAACAGATGTTGATTGATCACTTCTTCAGCTGCAGTAATTAAAGTTAAGACATTAAACGTTATTTTTTTAAACATTTAAGGTAATGTGCAGTGGTGTGCCGTCCTTGGAAATGGTGGAAGCACTGCTTCTCTTGTATTTTCTAAAATATATATACATATTGTGCGATTATTTTCATATTTTAATGTACTTTGAGTTAATTAAAATTTATATTTTATTATAACTGCATTTGNGTAATTAAATGTGTTAAATAATAAATTAAAACATTTATTTTAAATGTGTTAAATAATAAATTAAAACATTTATACAATAAATAAAATATGTAAATACCGTAAATAAATAAATATTGCATTTACTTTACCTTAGTGCAAAGTTGTAATGTCTGGTTTCTATGGTCATTATAGAAGTAGTCTAAACACGACCAGTTAAAGCTGTGTTTATTGTTGAAAACAGCTAATTTACAATAAGTAATCATCTACAAAAGTAGATCTTGCTGTAATTACTGAAAGTTTCTAAGAATCCATATTTCTTGGAAAGCATCAAGGATCACTTCTTCAACCATCGTGTCATAACGCGTGTTTTTCGCGCGGGTTTGTATTTTCGTTCTCAGTTGCGATCTGTAACTTCGCTAAAGTTTTTTTTCCTTCGCTGTTTTGGTTGTGTAGTTTCATCGCCTTGAGATAGAATAAGTTTTTAATAGTGATGTAACGAATAGTATATTCGGCCTCAGGCCGAATACCGAATATTCGGCCAGGAGTGTGGCCGAATAGCCGAATATTCGGCCAAACTATTCGGCTTCATTAACACACATACGAAAATTAGCGTGCAAATCGCATTATATGGCAAGGATCGCGCACCCTGCTCTCTATTGGCCCGCTGTCACTACACTTCTTTAATAGCATTAATTCTTGACAGTTGTGTCATGAGCGTCATAACAGTATGTTATAAGTGATGATATCAAATGTGGATAACAATGAAATGACCTACACCTGTAAATAGAGAGGTTGCGGCCGAAGTTTTCAACGCGAAAACGTGTACGTCGGACGTTCAGCGCTGCCTTCCTGTAAGCCTAGAAGTTTGACAATGGCGTTTGGAACGTCGAACATGATTCCACTGACGTTCCAAACGCCATTGTCAAACGTCTAGGCCTACAGGAAGGCGGCGCTGAACGTCCGACGTACACGTTTTCGCGTTGAAAACGTCGGCTGCAACCTCTCTAATAACGGAAAAAGAAGAGAGAAGGACCGCAAAGTGAAAATGTGAAAATAAATATGAAATTGAGTTGATAACATAATCGAACAAGTCGAGGCAGCTTATCGACGACGTTCTTTCCTTTAAATTTTCCTTCCTTTCTTTTGTATGATTAAAATACTGTTTTATTTCGTTTCTAAACATATATATATATATTTTCGTAGTATTAAGGACACTGTTGAGAAATAGATCTAAAATCATATTTTATTTAGAAAAATAAGAAATAATTAATATTTTGTAGGCATTCATTGTTATTCCTTTTTCTTTATAGCTTTCTATGGAGTAAATTTTATAGTTTAATGTGATAATCTAGCATTTATTTTTTTTTATTTTTTTCTTTTGTGTGCACGTTGGTCGATTTTATTTTGTTATATTTTTGAAATTTTATAAATATTAAATAAATTATAAAGTTGTAAACATTTCTTATTTTTATTTTGGGGGAAAGCGAAAATTTAAAAACCGGTTAAAACCGTTTTCGTTGAAAATTTGAGATTCGAAAACCGATGTTTTAAAAAGTCGGTTTTTGTATAAACCCTAAGGGAACGTATAACGTTCAGTACAGAGGCAATGACACCACTAAAAGGATTGAGAACGTTGTGACGAAAAGTTGCAGCTCGGAATTATGACGATGTCAAAATAAGTAATTACTTGTTACAATCGCTTTGGTTTATTTAGTTAAGGCAACGCACTACGTGAGCGATCTGCTGAGGGGATGCGCTACGCAACACGTGAGCGATCTGCTGAGGGGATGCATCTAGGAAAAAGTTTTATGAGAAGCTCGACCCTAGTTAGGTGTTACTAAAGTGAAGATAAATGGGAAAACTGCTCGTGGCTGGCCCACTGGCCATGCCCGAATTCACGACAAATTAACTACCGATATTCGGTGGTTTTATCCACTCGGCTACTGGAGTGCACTTATTAATTAAGAAAATATCGTTTAGAAAGCAAAAATACGAGTGGCAAGTGCTATGTGCTACCTGTCACAGTAATAGAGGAAATGTAACATATATTTTTGTAAAATTATATTTTGTTTTGTAAGAATTATATTTAATTTCTCATTCTGTTAAATTTTGCCAATATATAGCGCTGCGTGTAAATCAAAAAATTGAATGTGGGTAGAAATTAAATTATGTATAGAAATTCAATAGATACAGTATTTTGGGGTGGGATGAACGACATGATCTAAGATAGAAGTATTTAAGCAGAACTATCGAGTTTCGTAGCAATTGGTCGAACGGCCTAGTAGTGTATAGTTAAATAAAATAAAATAAAAACGAACAAGCATCTTCATATTCATATAAATAATTACATGATTCCTTTATACTTATGAATCAGTTGATGGACAATACAGCATCAACTGATTCAACCTTTATACAAACCTTAACCAGGCATTTAAATCATTTTTGTCTTGATGACGATCTTGAAGGGGACACTGATTGGCAGAGAAAAATTCGAGATAATATTAACACGTCTATTAGTACTGAGAATATGCCACTTTTTTCCTACGAGGAAATAGATATGGCATTTATTAGTTTGGGGAGGCATAAAGCCCCTGGTATATAGATCTTATTACTCCTGCAATTGCTAAGAAATTATGGAACTTAATTCCTAGTCAAAATTGTAGAATGGCTTCAGAACAGAATACTCTGATAGTACGTTGAACAACATAATTGTTTACATGATGCTCAATGTGGTTTTCGTCCTCAGAAATCTGCTGAGGACGCTATTTATGTGACTGTTACATCTGTCCATCCAGCTACTTGAAGATAACAAATATATGCTCGGGGTCAGCCTAGATATTTCAAAGGCGTTTGATAGCGCCTGGTGGCCCCTTATCACTCATTAACTGAGGAGAATCAATTGCCCATGCAATATTCTTTATTTGATTCAAGATTATTTACGTGAGGGAAGAGCGACTTTAGAATATGGTCAGCACCAGTTAGTAAATCAATCACCAGAGGCTGTCCGCAGGGGTCTGTTTGTGTTTTGGAATATCACCTCCAATGCTTTTTTCGACCATAATTTTGGACATATCACGGTTGCTTATGCTGATGGTCTGTTTGTATTGCTGGGGGTCGTTCGAGAGCTGACCTTGAGCACAGGGGCAATGACATGCTGAATGCCATATATAACTGGGCTGAATGTCATATAAATTTCAATCCCAAAAAAACTAAGGAGATTGTTTTTAATAAGCCGGGTCATTTCGACCCGGCTTATTATATCTTATATATTCTTATATATCTTAGTATTCCACATCTCAACATGTCCAGTAAAACTATAAAAATTGAAAAAACTCTCCGATATTTGGGAGTCATTCTTGACTTTCGCTTGACCTGAGACTCACATATTGATTATATTACTAAACATACCGGCTTAATTTTTCAGGGCTTTGTTCAGGTGGCTAGAAAGGATTGGAAGCTATGTCCATCGTCTACGATTCTATATATATCCCCATAATTACCTATGCATGTGGCAAACAGGGGTGGGCATCTATAATAATAAAGTGCATATAAAACGGAAATTGCTCTCTTTCCAAACAAAGGGCTTATTAATCATAACTAAAGCGAATCGCAGTGTATATACTGTAAGACTTCAAGTTATCGCAAGAAAACCCCCAATTGATTTGATAATAATACAAACTCAAAAGATACAACTGCTGAGACAGGGGAAGAATGTTCAGACAAGCTATGTTATGCTTGATAACGAGAAGATTGAAAAGACTGTCCCTTTTTTTAAAACACATTTCTTAACATGCAGATATAACTTGATTTTTACCAACATAGATTCTGCGGATATCTATATATATAACCCATTCAACGGGTATCTGTCCGTCCGTCCGTCCGCCTGTAACCGTTTGATATGACACTATCGTGTGTCATATTTCAAACATTCAAATTAACAATTTTAATTCTTATTTAAATTAACAATATGAATTATTATTATTATTCATTTGGCCAATAAATTATTATTTGGTCAATAT